TGTTAAAAATCATCTAATTTAGTGATCACTGGAGTGGATGTGACACTTTACATCTCTGCACAAGCAAACCAAAGCCCAACATCAACAGCAAGTGGGAACTGGAAGCCACCGAACAAAAGGCAATGTCAAAAGCAAACATCCAGCAAATTTCTTTCTAAAAACTTGACTTGCTTTATCTTTAAGCTAGAATCAGACAAAACTTCAATCATAATGCAGAATAAGCATTCCCTATTCTCTGTCTTCTGTCCACTGGAGTTTGCGGTGACAGGCAGATATGCACTCTGGTATCCACGGAGGCAGGAATTAGTGTTCTCAAGGAAGTAAATGAAAGGCCCACAGTAAGAACACAAATGGGTGCAGAAATGTGAGGGGAAAAGAAAAAAAGAGCGTAGTTCACCAGCAAGACTCCAGCCAAGGTCAAAGACCAGCAACTACAAGACAGTGATTAGCAATGTTGGCCAAAGATAGCAGCCAACAGAGAGCCAAGATTAGCAGCTAATAGAGCAATCCAGAGACAGGCAGAATTGGGCTTCAGTGTATGACCACCATTGGATGAGCAGTGCAGAAACAGCCCTTAACCATCTTCCTGCCTGGGCCAGAGGAATATGCAGAATCTGTTGGCCCCCATCAGCTCCACCCATGAGATGATCAGAGAACTAATTTGTAGTGAGATGTCCACCCTGCCTGCACCTGTTGCACTGACCATGCTCATTGGGATATGGGGACAGGTGCGGTAGTGACCTGGGGGAACTAGGTCTGGGGTCCCGGACCCCAGGTCGCTCTCTAGGTTTCTGGTTGTAGACAGAGAGCATCCAGAGGCATCCTTGGGATGGGAACCTGCTGGCAGTCATCTATTTCTGGTGTAAGTGATTTCTCCCCGAATAAACATCCATCAGCCTATTCGTTTTCCCAGATTCTTATTTATCCACGATACTAATTTCAATAGGAATTATATCAGTCTTTGGTTCCTGCCATACAGGAACATACAAGTGTGTTTGCCTGTGTGTGTGCATGCGTGTGTGTGTGTGTGTGTGTGTGTGTGTGTGTGTGTGTGAGCAGACATCACACTTAAATCAGCTGTCCAGATTGACTTGGTGACAGTGAATTGCCTGGTACCTGAGTCCTTGGGTGAAGTACATCTGGCCTGAGAACCTCTGTTGTTCTCAAAGATCTGCATTTCCAGTTGTAGAAATGTTCTACATACAGCCTTACTGTGTTCCAGCTTGTGTTAAAGACAGACATGTTTTTCTTTTGAAATAGACAACACACTCCTTGAAGAGTGACACGATGTTCTAATTATCTCCAAGTTGTCCAGTGTCCTTCATTTCCAAGAGTGCTTACATCATTAGCGGAGCGGTCACTTGAATTTTGGAAAGCTGAGCAGAGGAGTGTGTGTTTATGGCCAGACAACAAGATAAAGAATGCATAAACATGGAACCAAAAGCAGATTAGTCATTTTAAAATTATTTTCCTGATAAGCCAGTGACAAGGAGAGAGAATAGTAGAAAACTAACTGACTGACTATCCCCAGTGCTAGGCTTGGACCCGGACTCGCCCCCAAAGGCCCATGTGGTAAAAGCTTGTGGCACAACTAAGAGGTGACATAACCTTTAGAGGAAAAATGTTTGAAGGACACTGTGTCACTGAGAGGTATGCCAGAAGAACTGTTGGATCCCTGGGCTTCTTCCTCTCTTCACTTTTCCTGTCTGCCGTGGGGAAAGCAGTTTCTTAGACCCTGCACCCTTGCCATGATGCTCGTTCACACTGTCGGCCTCCAAAAGACTGAACCCACAGAGCCAGATCTCTGAAACTGCATCACAAGTACAGTGGCTTTTTGTTTGGTTGGCTTTTAATTATTGATTCCCTCACAGGAGAGAAAGCTGACTTCCTTTTTAGGAGACAAAGCAGAGGGATTTCATGGCTTTGCAGATTTGGGAAACTTGGCTGTTACCTTTCTCCCCTGATTTGTCCAAAGGTCAGATGTCAACTTAGATTTGGCTTGGTAGCTTTGATCTAGGTTTTTCATCTGCTGTGTTAGGTATAGAGACTGGAGGAAGTCTTGAGAGGCTGGAGTCATGAGTGAATGTGTATTGCTGACTTAGGCATGCCCATGTGTTAAGGACCCCAATGCCTCAGTCCCATGCTAGTGGCAAAGCCTTATCTGAATGAGGCTCAGAGGGATGGAAAAGCTTTCCTCTATGGCCTGAGTGCAAGCATGGCATCAGTGTGTACAGAAACTAGCAACTGCAACTTCTTCCTTCCAGGTAATTGTAGCCCAAGACTGCTTGCCTACAGAGATCTCCTGCCTATAACAGCCAACCCCTCCCTGTGCTGTACATAGCAACATGCTGAGGTTCTGGGTTGCCATGGTAGTGGGTATGACTCCATCAGAGTAACCACACACCAGCTTTTCTGAACATGTGTCTATGTCTTTGTCATTTCTTTATTCCCTTTCAGTCCCTAGTCCAGGTTCCAGGACCCAGGCCACTTGGTGAAATTAGAACCCAGACCAAGAACGTAGGCTTCTCCAAAAGCAACAACCTGAAATTTTTATTATTAACTAACTTCTAACTAGAACATTCTACTCTAAGCCATGGAAATTATTTTCCTTATATGGATTCTACAGATACTTCCTTTATTTCCCATCAGGCTCTCTGAGTGAGGCCTAGGCCCCAGGTCATGAATGTTCAAATAGGCTCCTTAAAATTTTAAAGTGCTTAGTGGTTTATTGTTTCTGTTTTAAACCAAACACCTCCTAATATTCATGAGCAAGTGCTGAAAAAGCTGTGCTTCCCGTGGAGGGAACAGGCACAGCGAGAAGCCACTCTCCTGCATTGGGACAGGGACCCTGAGCGCCTAGACAAGCCATCTGTGCTGAAGTGCTCTTCTAAAAGGAAGCAAATGTCACTGCAAATAGGAAGAAGAGGGCAGAAAGCCCACGTCACTAAAATATAAAATGTAAACTGCTCGCATGATGCCACCGAAGAGAAGTAGGGCTCTGGTGTTTAGATGTTTATTTGCATCGAAAAACCCTAGGGGAATGATTGTGACTCTTAACTTCTATGTCAGTAATAGTGTGACCTCTGGGTCAGAGCACACATCACTGCCATAGAAGGTGGCCCCAGAGGAACTTAGAGCGTCACAGTTCTGGCATTTTATCTAGGCATCTCAACATCTAGGTTGAGTCCATTTCCTTGATATTGTGACTATAGCTGTGGTGGACGTGGATGAGAATACAAGCACATAGAGTCCTCGAGGTAAACACCCAGGAGTTGTACGACAGGGTTTCACGATAGCTCTGTTTAACTCTTTGAAACAACTCTGTGCTAGTTTTCTAATCTACACTGTCACACACACAAACAGCGAGTGCATATGGACTCCTCTTCCCCCACATCCTCACCAGCATTTGGTGGTGTTTGTTATCTTGATGGCAGCCATTCTGATAAGAATCAGAAGCTTGAAGTAGTTTTAACTGGTAACAGAGTGTGTTGAAAGTCTTTGGAAGTATCCACTGACTGCTCATCTCACTTTCTTGAAAATTCATCTTCAGCCCCTTAGTCCATCTTTTAAGAATTGTTTTCTTCTTTGGCTTTTGAGTTCTTTATTTATTCTTGGTAGTAATGTTCTGCCTCCCATTCTAAAGGCACTTCACTTTCTGCTTCAGCAGTTTCAGAGACTTTGCTCCATTTGGAGTTGATTTTTGTGTAAGGTCAAAGAAAAGGGGCCATTCATTTTCTCCTTCCTACATGAAGATGTCAAGTGTTCCCAGCACTATCAATCTCTGTGCTTTGGGCATCTTTGTCAGAAGTCAGTTGGCTGTAGCTGCATGGCTTATGTCTGGGCACTTTATTTCATTTGTGGCTCTACCTATCTGGGGGGCAATACCACCCTGTCCTTTGTAGCATAACTTGAAATTAGGTACGGTGTTATTTCCAGCATTACTGGTTTTGCTCAGGATTACATTGGCTATCTGAGGTCCTTTGTGCTTCCAAATTATTCAGACTCTTTTTCTATTTCTATGGTGAATGTTGTTGGCATTTTGATGGCAATTGCAGTGACTCTGTATGATTGAGTCAGTAAGATGGCCATTTCACACTGTTGACTCTTCCAAGTCATGAGTCTGGGAGCACAGAATAGCCTATATAACATAATAAGATATAACTCGGACCCTTGGTGACCATGGGGTCTAGTTGGGGGATTATCCAAGATGCAGGAGGTTTAACAGATAAAACAACAACTTTAAGTGGCCCAATTAATGTTCAAAGTACACACATGGTTGGTTGGTGAGGAAAAAAGATTTATTTTAAATAGCCTTTAAGGACTTTATAGAATTTAAGTATAATAGATAGTGATAGAAAAACACAATGGTCTATAGAAGCATGTCTTCTGCAAGTGAACATGTGGTAGTTCAAGTTAGCTGTCATGCCAGCTAGATAAGTTGGAAGCAGATTTAAAAGTCAACTGTTAGAGGACCACAGTGTGTGCACTTGTCCCCAAGCCTAACACAGTGTTGCACTCATCTCTGGTGAGTCGTAGACAATAAGGCAAAATAAAGTTAAAATGTGCATTAAGGACCAATCACTAGGAACACTGCAGTAGCTGCCGTCCACGGAAGAACTTACTATCATTCAAACAGGGTTAAGTCAAGTGACCGCAAGAGTGGAGGAGCCAGGAAAGCACAGTGAATATAGCCAACATGGCTTGTCTGTGCCGGGGGTGGGAGCATTTATTTAGGATCACCTTAGAGAAATTTGCAGGCTATCTTGTGAGGTTTATGTGGCTCCTTTGTTGTTTACACAACAGAAAACCAAGCCACTCTGTGGTCTGTGGATGTGAGACCTGGCAAAGGGCATAGATGAATGTCAGGATACGGGGAGATGAATATGGGCATCATAAGATCAGGCTGCCAGGAGGGAAAATGCACTCATCTTGGAACATGGTGTCTCCCATATGTCCATCCGCACAAAGCTGTAGGAGTGGTGGAAATGCTGAAGAGATCATTGTTCCCCACATAGTAAATGTGTCTTTATGGAGATGAGAACCTGCCACAGAACAGGAGACTATTGGTTTTGTTGTGCCTGATGAAGAAAAGGAAGGGGTGGTCTGCACAGAACGTTGGGACAACAGATGCGCAGCAAAATTCAATGACAGATGATGCCGCTGCAGCCTCGGTGCCTTCTTCATTGACCTCCACAACACTCTTGTGAACAAACTTGGACACACACAGGCTTCTCTCTGGAGACATTCCTGATAAGTCAGCCTTGCCCTCTTGGAAGACATCCACCATTCCCAAGTGCTGAAACATGGACTCCATGTCATAATCCTCTTGTAGTTTAAATTTTGGAAGAAAAACCTCAACATCAGTGCTCTTCATGAAGTCTGGTCTGGTCCAGGCTGTTAACTTCTCGAAACTGAGATTGTTTTCCACCTGACAAAGCAGAATCAGAGACCTTCAGATTCACAGTTGAGGTCTCACCCAGGGCCTCATAGTCACTTCCTGCTCACAGTACCCTCCATCATCCTACAGGGGACACTGCCTGCTCATATGGCCAGGCTGTGTGAGGTCTCACTGTCCTGCTAGCTTTATGTGGCTTCCCTGGTGGTTATGGAGACCAAGTAACTCAGGATTGGGAAGACCTGGCCATCCTGTCCTAAATCCCTTTGAGACATCTTTTACTCTGACAGGTGTCCATGTCCAGGTGCCAGGTGATATGATTTAGGTTGTGTTTGCTTTTGTGTGGGACTAGACTTATTTTTGAAGACAATAAACCATAGATGCTGCTGAGTCACACTAGAAGGGAGGGATAACCAGGCTGGGATTTTATGTTTGTGTGTGTGTGTGTGTGTGTGTGTGTGTGTGTGTGTGTGTGGCCTGTTAATGGCTTGAATGTAAATTCTGCCTAAAGGTTCAACCTTATCCTGAAGCTGGTGGCAACATTTTAGGGGGTAGCTATAATCTAGGCATGTGGGGGTCTAGCTGAATGAAGGAAGGACCTATGAAGGTCATCCTTGGTACTTTGTCCCTTCTTCTTTCTCTGCTTCCTGTTTACTAAAAGGTCTGTAGTTTCTGCCACATGCACCTGTCACCATGGAAACCATTGATAGACCGGGTAACTTGAAATGAGTTGGATGTATCAGTGAGCCAATGTAAATCCCTCCTCTACTAGGTTATTCACAACAGGCACTTGGTGAGTGATGAAAATGAACTAACACTACAGAAGTCATGCTGCAGTAGGGAGCTGTGTGGGAAGAGCCAGGGGAGCTGTTCTGCTTACAAAGCCCCCTTAGGCCATGCACACTGCAGTGACCTCAATTCAGAAGATGACTGGTACACTGTGGCGTATCCTGCTGCAAGGAAGAACAAGGTATGTCATAATGATGTCCCTGACTCTGTCCTCGCCAGCTGGCATCCCTCCTCTTCCACTTTATTGAGTTAAAGTCTGTCTGTTTTGTGTTCTCAGATATCATAATAAAATAATAACAAAGATCATTATTTAGGTTACATTTACAGAGGGGGAGTATGTTCTAAGCACTGTGCTAAGTTTACTACCTGAGTTATCTTCATTTCATCCTATCAGGTACCATCTCCCATTCTAGAGATAAACTTAAGTCTTATGTCAAGGTCATACACCTCACAATGGGAGACTTAGACACAGCTTTGATCCCGAAACACAGGGACTGCACACAGCTTGAGACTTAGTCTGTGAGTAGGACCTACTCAAATGGTAGTTGGAAAGGTAAAAACACTGAGTTATGTTCTAATGATGAAGGGCAATGGGGACAAAGGATTCTTCTAGTAGACATTTAGAGTGGTGACTGATAGGGACTCTCCTGCCTCACCTTGCTGAGGTCCACACCATCATCTGGGAGCAGGACCACCATGCTCAGCTCCAGGCCCTCGTATGGCAGCACCAGCACCTGTGCCTGTATTTCATCCACGTAGGCGAGGTTAAAGGTGTCTTCCTGACACATCATCTGCACTGGCCGCTTCTCCTCCTGAACAGATGGACCCAAGACATAAGAAGATGTTATTGAGAGAGGTCAGAAGGTTTCCAAATGAGCTGAAGTATTCACGGTCCAGTTAACACTTAGTCAATGTCTACCAGCCTCTTCCTGCTTTCATTAAAAAAGAAAAAAGAATGAGTGTTTTAGATATGGGACTTTTGCAGATAGGGTTTCTAGTTGTGATTAAAAAACCCCATGACCAAAAGCAACATGGGGAGAAAGAGGTTATTTCATCTTACAACTCTCAGGTTACATTACATCACCGAGCAGGGACTCAGGCAGAAGCTATGGAGGGATGCTGCTTACTGGCTTGTTCCCCATGGATTTCTCATCCTGCTTTCTTACACGTCTCATGACCTCCTGCCCAGGGTTGGCCCCACCTAAAGTGGGCAAGGCCCACACCAATCACTAATGGAGAAAATGACCAAAAGACTTGCCTCTAGGCCAATCCTATGGAAACAACTTTTCAGTGTAGAGCCCTTCTTCTCAAATAGCTCAAGTTTGTGTCCAGTTCTAATGAGATCTAGCTGAGCTTTTAGGAGGTGGGGCCTAATGGGAGAAAGTTAAGTGTTGGAGAGTGGGTACCCCTGAAGGGGATTTTGGCTCTGCAGCCCCTTCCAGTTCCTCTCTTCTGCTTCCTGAATGCTGCGAGCTGAACAAGCTCCCACCATGCATTTTCACCATGCTGTACTTGCACCACCGCAACCTGGAGTGATTGGGCCAACTGACCCAGCTGAAATTTTTTGAACCCTGAGCCAAAATAAACATTGCTTCTTTTAAGTTGACTACCTCAGATAGCTTGTTTCACTAATGCAAAGATGATCATCATAACAGATGTAGGATTTTGGTCACTTAATATTGTCAACCATTATATCGAAGGAAACAGCATAATGGACTATAAATAACAGAAAAGCTTTCATCAAGTGGACTGGAATGCTTTCTCAGTGGTGTGAACAGGACTGCAGACAGCTCCTCCTCTCAGACAGCAGCCTGGCAGCAGGAGCACACATGCGCAAAGGTTCACGATGGGTCACAACCTTCTAACCCATCACAGAACAGAGAGCTCCAGAGCACAGACACTCAGAGGCTTATGTGGAGCTCCATCCTGGTGGCCAGTCAAAGAGAAGGAAAATCCCAGTTAAATTACTACAAGTTGGGGAATGTTGAGATGATCTCCATGTATCTCTGTGATATAGTTAGTTTCACAACCCAACGCAAAGCAGAAAATTCTATTCAACCAATTATAAATTAAGGGTCATCTGGACAGACCCTCATGAATCTTCCTGTGATTTAATCCAGTTGGTTCAGTTCTCGTAGTTCAAAGTGTGACATCAGGGAAGATTTTAAATACAGTGTTATGCTAAAAATAAAAATTTGCTAAAGACCATGAATAATACATATTAAATTTCCCAATAAAAGAATTAACCCTCTTACAAAGTTTTAAAATTATTACTAATAAAAAGGAAATGGGGGGAATTTAATATCATAAGGCTCCAAAATGTATTCTATTATATTTTATAGGGATGGGAAAAGTATTCTAGTGTCTACTTTAATTCAAATTATACTTCAATAAAGATTGATATCTTAATCAATATGTTTCAACATAAGAAAGCAATACATACTGCTTAATAATGACAAGTTGACCAATAATTTAAAATACATATTTTAATTTTAAAAAGGCTATTAAATAAATGTTTGTGTGTTTGTTTCTATTCTGCCCTGTTCTCCATACATGTATTATACTACCTTAACACATAACTTTCTGTTTTATTGAACTTAAAGGAAATTTTAGTTTCTAGAATGAAATAGGAGCAATGATTTTACAAGGAATTATCAGGACATACAAGAGCCACAAACAGAATATAAAATAACACAGGAATAAGTACTCTTTATTCCTATAATTATTTCCTAGGAGGATTAACCTATCATTCAGAATTGTAAGTCTCAAATGGTTTTCTGTGCTTTCCTCTCTCTCTGTCTCTCTCTGTCTCTCTCTCTCTCTCTCTCTCTCTCTCTCTCTCTCTCTCTCTCTCTCTCTCTCTCCTGGGCTGAGGATCAAGCCTTGCACTCCACATAGGACCTTCGATCTCTGCCACTGAGCCCCAGAGCTACACATTCATGATTACACATTTCCATGCAATCTCCTCATCATACCAGAATGAACTTTTATCCTGTTTCTTACCTTGTTAATTTTAAAGGGCATTTCCATTGTGCAATCTTTGGGAAAAGGTTGTTGCCACCTTCCTTTGAAATATAAGGCATTGACAACAACCAGCCTGGTCTCTGAATCAACGGAGCCTCCTGACAACAACTCTGGAATTTTCCCTTTTGAGGAAGCAGAGACTTCATTTAGGTTCATTTTATACACAGTGTGAGAAATAAATTGATGTGACATCTGGGTAGATCCAAGCATCGTGTTTTCAAATTTGCTGAATGTGGATTTAAAAATATTAAAACTAATCAAAGTAAGACACCAACAGCCATGTTTGACTCAAGGTCATCGACACTGGGGAAACATCACCATGGTGATGATGGTGAAAGACTTCCAAGTCTCTTGGGTAAAGCAGGTTTGGGAAAGGAAGAAAAAGAGACTCCAGGATGGAGAACAAAGAAGCAGGAAATGTGGAAGGGTCACAGGGGACCAGGGCTCCCCCTGGGTGCTCATGCTGGTTGCCATCTTGACTGGGTCTGGAATGAACCAAGAGACATGTCTGTGGGCAGGACTGTGAGGACCTTTCCCAGAAAGAGTAACTAATAGAGAGGATGCTCTGGAGTGGGCGGTTCCTTCCTGTGCTGTCTGATATAAAGGACTGAGAGAGAAGCAGCCCTGCCCTTGTCTGCTGCCTTCAGTTCTTGCTGGTGAGTGCATCTGCATTGTTCCCTCCCCTTTACCTGACATTTTCAGCTGACACTGGAACCCTGTAGCTTTGGATTTCATATGAACCGAGACTAGGAGCTCTTTGGAATCCTCTAGGCTTTCTATTGGAAACTGGCTGATAGGTTTCCAGCCTCATAGATTGAGGAACTACCAGATTCTCAGCTTCTCCACATGGCAGTGGCCATTATGGGACTACTCAGTCTTCATTGTGTGTACCAATCTATTAAATTCCCTTAGTAATTCGTATACATTATACTCTGACTAATACACTAATGTTTAATGCAGCATCTCACCTAGCACTCTGACATCATGCCCGTTGTAACATAGCACAACACATCAAAGGCTCAGAGGCAGAAAGTAGCTTGTGGAGGGGGTATGCTTATTATATACTTTGGAGTGCTGATCATCCCTGGAAGAGATGATGCAGGTCAGAGGACAGATTCCCTTCTTCTGTGTTAAGGAGAATCCTTCCAAAACAGAACAGAATCCTTGCTAACTAACAGCATCAAGAGTACACAAGAGGTAAAGACTCCATCAAGAACTGGCAAATAATTTCTCATTCTACACTATCTCTGTGTTAGCAGAAATTGGAATGTCTCTAGTGGTACAGAGGCAACTGAGATTAAAAACAAATCAGGTTTAACCCCAAATGGGAGACACTTTTAGGCCAATATAACTGCACCTCCCTGATAGTGTCTTCAATGAAAACCATGTCTAGTTTCACCAAATGTAAGTAAGGGATCTGAGGCAGGAAATATGGAATACGGAAGCAGAAACAGAAGTCCTCTTCAGTGTAAAGGTGGTGGGAGCTGAGGCAACACAGACTGTGTGAGGAAGGAGCCCCAGGGCAAGACTACAGGGAAGGTGTCTATGTGCATCTCAGTCCCAGAGATGGTGGAGCCAACTGACCCGGGTACAGTGTAGACCGCCCTTTTATTATAATGTAAAATAAAACAAAAAAAACTGTCAGACTGGAAACTGGGTCCATGAGTACTCATGGTATTTGTATCAGCCCCTCTGTCCTGAGGAAATACACAAAACAACCTCCATGAATTCACTGAAGTCTGAATTATACCATGTAGCCTAGCAAGTCTGTATCACTTTGACTCTCTGAAATGGCATGAGATTAGTCAGTAGGGGGAGAAGGGGAATGTAAGAGAAAGACGAAGAGGGAGGGGTGGATGGAAAGGACAAGAATGCTGGGTGTGAAGTAACTTGAAATTCTGACCTTCAGTCTGTTTGGAGACCCACGCGTTTATGTGTTTCCTGGACTCCTCTGGAGTTTTGACAAAGGACAGCTGCTTCATCTCCGAGTGATAAAACTGAAGACAGGACTTCTTAAAGGTCTTTGGAGAGAAAAATGTTCAGGGAGGTAACACTGTGAAATATAGTGTCAGTAAGGGTCCTGATCTTCTGATACTATAGCATTAAAAAACAAAACTAAACTAAAATTAATGTAGATGTTACTTTAAGCAACAAACATCTTTGTGAACTAGGCCTTTATAGCTAGGAATAACCAGACATGAATAAATAAAAACAACAAGTAGTCAAATTTAAAATATTTCAAGGTATTATTATAGAATTGTGGGAAGTTTATGGAGTTGAGGAGTTGAGTCTCACTATTTGGCCTAGTCTGTTCTGGAAATTGTCACCTTCCTGTCTCAGCTTTCCAAATGCAGACATTATAGATGTGTACCACCACACTGGCTAGAACTTGGACCTTAATTTTCTCAAGTTCTTTAGGGTTGCTCTCCTGGGATCTATAGCAACAAGTATTTTAAATACATTCTACTGCTACAACTTACTGGAATTAATTCACAGGTGTTCTCTGCAAAGAGTCTGTTGGCCATTCTAAGTGAGTGCTTTCTGTTGGGCTTGTTCAGGTTACTGAGAAGCCCCTGGAAGCTTTGATGAATGTCTTCCTCTGTGTTGAAACCAAGTGCCTGTGAAGGAAAGGAATGAAACATCCTGAGCTCAGTGATGAAGCATTTTGGCTGCATGAAGGAATTTTCAAGCTGAGGAGATGGCTCTGGTAGTGAGGCACATGAGGCTCTGAGTTGGATCCTCACTATGCACAATAAAGTTGGGCCTAGTACTGAATGGCTCTAATCCCAGCACTGGGATGAGAAGACACCTGCATTTACTGCTGTTTTCTGCCTAAAGAAGTGTACACAGGCATGTAAACACACACACACACACACACACACACACACACACACACACACACACACTCATGCACGCATGCACAAGCTCTCTGTGTTTATTTCTGAACCTAAAACCTATAAAGACCATAAGGAGTCTGGCACATTAAGTTGGGGCTGGACCAAACCCTTCCCCACTGAGCATGGCAACCCCTTCATAGGGCTTGGGAGAGACTCATTCTTAATCACCTGCAATGCTCTCAGGAGGCTCCATAAAGAAACCAACGCAGTGCCCAGGCAGGATGTGGACTAGCTACACACAGTTTACCCCCTTTGATATCTTAGCTGATGAAAAGCAGGTTGAACACAACTGAGAACAGGAATTAACCTTCCTTGCCAATGGATAATGACAGAGTCTGCTGCTGTAAAAATAAGATAGATTTAACAACCTGTGTTTGAAATAATTTCAGTTTCCCTTTTCCCTTTGCTGTACTTGGGGCTGAGCCTAAGCTTTAATCCTAACATCGTCCCACCATCTTTAAAAACAAAACAAAATGCTTTTTTGTTTGAAACTAAGTTGTCCAGGCTAGTCTTGAATTGGCACCTTCCTGTCTTAGTCTCCTTAGCAGCTGGAATTAAAGGCCTGTGGCACCAGGCCTAGCATGGAATTATTTATGCATCATTTTCAAAGTGATGTTTGAACAAAATATTTTGAGAGTCCCTTTAAGTTATTACTGAGGAAAATTCATTGCCCTCTTTAGCCCCTGCTCCCTCCCCCTCCTTCTCAGCAGCTCTCAGGCAGGTGAAGCAGCTGTGGGGTGACAGCTTACCTGAGTTATCTGGACAGCAGTGTCTCCCTTGGCCCCCAAGAGGACCATAGCTAGAGCAGAGGAGATGCTCACTGGAGAGTAACATACATTTCCCGAAGGGTTGTTTTGACACAGTGTTTTTAAAAGATGGATGGCAAAGGAGCCATTTGCTTCAGACAGAGTATTCATGATGCAGAGTCTGGAGGCAAAGGAGAAATGGTACTCAACACAACATTGATGGTTCATTGATCTGACTCAGGAAATCTTGTGCTCTGCTCTTGGTTCTCATTTCCAAGCTCTTAAGTACTTAAACTAGGATTTTAAAAATCCATTCTCAGTCACAGTCCTTCCAATTTTAAGGTTATTAGCTAAGTGTGGTCATGGCAGCAGACCAAACTATCATCTGTCCCATCTGCATAGGCAGAAGGTCAGATCATCAGGACTGCACACACAGGACACAGCTGAGAGAGGCAGACTCTAGTCTCCTTCCATGCTCTCCAGCTCCTCTCTCTGAAGAGGATGGAGTCAAGGATACAGAGAACAAGGAAGAGACAAGGAAGGGAAGAAGAAAACAGATATGAGCATCCAGGCCCTCCAGCCTGGGTTTATCAAAGCTGCATCCTGTGTTTGCCTGTGAAGACTCCTCTGACATGTCCAGGTGTGCCCTAGACAGTGCCTCCATGTTTGCAGTTGCTGCAGGAAAGACACTGAGATGCTGCATGAGACCCAAAGACAGGCTGGTGTCATCAGCTGTGCTGTGCAGCAGGGAGCCTGCAGTGGCTGCTCAGGTGACCTCGATCAGCCGATGGCACCCGGGCTGCTTTACTCTTGAGCATGCCGCACTCCAGATGAATAGACAGCTTGGCCTAGACTAAGTGACTACTGAGCACTATAACCCAAAACTGAATCCCTCTGCACATCCCATGGCTTTGTATAACCATTGAACACTAGAAGTGTGCTCCACAGTGCTTTTTACTGTGTTAAAATGCAGATCAAATAGCCCAGGGAACCTCTGAACATCATGACACATACTTCTCTCTCCCCAGAGTGACGGCATAGCATCCTGAGAGTGTATCTAGACCCTATGACTCCTGGGGCTGCTTTATTTCAGTGACTTGCCCTCTGGTTAGTCTTCTCATCTGACTCAGCTTTCAACCCCTACACCCCTGCCTATCCTGGCATCTCTTTAAAGTTGCTTCTATTCTTGACATGCTCTTTGTTCCACCTAGAAGGTCATCTACCCCACCTCTGTCACTGAGTTTAAACTACTCACCCTTCCCTCCTTCACTGGGACAGGACAACCTCAGAGCCTCTGCCCTGCTACCCTGGGGCAGCTGCCCCATTCCAGGTCTGCTCATCACTCCTCAGTGCACCCCTTTCTTTTGCCGATTGCTGTCCCCACCATACTTGGAGCTCTCTGAAGGCAAGAGAGATGTCTGGCGCCCCGATTTTAAGTTCCTGGAAGCATGCTCTGGATAAAGCAGCTTCTTGTCAACACTGAGTCAATTATTCTATAAATGGAAACAAAGACTATTTAACTTTGTAAAAGAGACGGCTGATCGTCAAAGAGCCCTAACGTACGATATATTTTTCAGGTCTGAGAGCAGAGAGCAGAGGTGGTCACATTGTCTAGGTGGTAGAACCCGAAAGGAAGCAGGACAGAGGCCAGTGGGGATGGCCTCCGATACCCTTCCTCACCTGGGTCTGGCTGAAGAGGGACCAAGACAGGTCTAGGACACTAGCCCTAGGACTGCTGGCATTTCTAGAATTGCCTTTTTAAATGCCCATCAGACACCACCTGTTTACTCTCTTTTTCTAACTCTACAATCCTTGGGGTTGCCTCCTGGACTCTGCCTGAACCTTGTAAACCCCACCTCTGTGGATCCCATAGCCCCAACCTGAGACAGGCCCCCTCACTTACTTTTGAGACTTCTCAATGCAGCATTTGCAGACTGGATGTCCCCGGAGCTTAGCTGAGTAGCCTACCAGAGCCTGCTGTCCCTTTATTTACCGCAGGGCTGGGATTTCTTGTTCAGAGCCTTGGGTCAGGGGCGGGGAGACAAGCCAGCAGCTTGCTCTGGCCTCTTCGAAGAGGATGTGTGGGGGTAGGGCAAGAACTGAAAGCGAAAGTATTAGGGAGAAGCCTTTGCTTTGAGAATGCCAGATTTTAATAGCGCCCTGTTGTGTGTGTTGTGGGGGGGGGGGGGTTGCCTATTATCAATATTCATTCCTTACCCCTACCCTCCTTTCCTGGCAAACACTAATGCATTTTCTGCCTGTATTTCCCAGCCACTGGCATTTCTTGTGAATGAAATGTGTAGTCCTGTGTGGTCCTCTTTTATGAACCTGACTTTTCAGTGACGGGGGAGGAGGGGTTAGTAGGTGGGGGTGGGGCACAGACTTGCTACTCAGTGCCACCTGCAGGGGCTTGAGTTCTTTACAGGTAAAGTCACAATTCTTGAACTTGCCACAGAAAGAAATTTCACATTGAGCCAGTATGAAGTAGATTGGATTTATTAAGAAACAAACACACATAAATATATTTAAACACAATAATATACAAAGGGTTAGATAGGATGAGACACACTTCAGCATTCAGGCATCTCAAGGGAGAGCATCGCTTCAGAGTCTTAGCAGTAGCTACACATGTGGCTTTAGTGACTCTCAAAAGTTACAACCTAAAATTTTGTTAAGAAACCCCGTTTTCCATTTTTATTTGTTTATGTATTTAAGAATTGTAAGACCCTCAGAATGAGGAGTCTCCCAGTTTCTGTCGGTACTCCCAAGAACTCAATGTCCAGTCCAGTTGCTGCAACATGCAAGAGGCTTTAATGAACAGGAAACATTTGCACAAACGGGCTCCCTTAGCATGCAGGCTAGAGAGAAGCCCCATCCCCTGGGCACAGGTGTTTTTAAAGGCAAAACCCACAAACTTAGGGAGGGGGGACACTCTGTCCATTGAGTACTTGACCCTTTGAGGCCGGATGGTCTCGCTATTAGGGTCAACAGACCTTAGGGCCCCAGGGTGTGCTAATTAATCTTGTCTGGGCAAACCGGAGGTACAGTTATCTCTTTGTTTCTGAAGGACACTATTCACCACCTGCTGACTCACAAGAAAGGAGGGGCAGTGTGAATTCTTGGTATCTTGTTATCTCAGGGCCTTGTGAGGGGAAGTTAACAAATTCCAAGAAACAGATATTGGTCTGAGTTAGCTTTCCAGGTTAGTCTGTTCATTTCAAGTGGGGGTTTTCTTTAACTTTACTTTTTTGTCTTTCAGAATAAGCTTTTAATACTATAATGAATGAAGCTATGGGGCCCAGACACTTAACCAGAACTTCAATATAGGAAGATGCCCTGGGGAAACAGGATACACAAGCTCACATTGTCTATAGCATCACATACCTAGTTCTCCCCAAGGTCAAGGTGTCATTTAGCTGAGTCTGAGAGCTCACTCAATCTCATACTTTAAGCTATGCACTCAGTGTAGAAGGCCTTCCTCTCATGTGCTCTCCTCCTGGTTTATGGATGGCCAGCTGTCACCAATTTCTTCCTCCCAGAAACTTCCTGGTGACATTAGCTTATGACTGTCTTTCTCGTTTTGCTTGAGTGAAGGGTTGGCTTGCTTAGATGCAGCATCGCTTCCTCAGTCACCCTGTGTTCTCCACCCCCAAGGAATTTCAGGCTTTCCTGTCTGGTTAGGTTTCTCCAGCTCCTCTGCTTTGACCAACAATTTCTGATCATCTCCTGTCTTAAGTTGTATTCTTAGGGACACTTTTCACTTTGGTCCCACATAAAAGCAGCTGGCCAATAGTTACCTTCCCACAAGGGTGTCCTCTGACACAGTTGTTACGAGCAGTTTTCCCTGACAACCTGGTCCCACAGTTGCATCGGCCCCAAATAACACACAGTGATGCTGTATTAGATATAAAGCTGTTGGATTGTTATTAACATTTCTTATTGGCTAGCTCTGTCTTAAATATTAACCCATTTCTATTAATCTACATGTTTTCACACGGTCTTATCTTACTAGAGAGAGGGTCAGGACATCTCTCAAGTCCCTACATCTTGAATCTCTACTATATCTCCCAGAATCCTCCTTGTCTCCTAGTCCCACCTATCTTGCCTTCCTATTTGCCAACAGTGCTTTATTCATTAACCAATAAGAAACATATGTACCGAATGACATCTCCCATTACACAGTGCCTCATTCCTGCTCTTCTTCTCCCTTGTCACCAACCCTACTTCCTCCAGTCTTCCCTCCAATCCTCTTCTTCATCGTCTAATACAAGGTCATGCTGTTTTCTCTTCCTGGATGGAATACTCTGGCTTTTATCCCCTTTCACTTTCTATATATAGTTCTACGTAGTTCTGTTAGAAGATGGGCTTGCCCTTTAAAACAGTACTCACTCTTAAGAGTGCAGATTCCACAGATGTTTGCCATCTACATCATCTCTTTCTTAAGTGAAACTGGCATCTTCTCCACTGTACTTTCCACATGATGGCTCGTGGTTCACGCTCTTCTCCCACCTGGAGAATCCTTTCAAGACAAAAAAATATTGTTTCTGTTTAGGGCGTGTGACTGGCAGGATTACAGCAACTTACCCTGCTACCCTCAAAGATCTAGTTCTTGTTTTTCATACATGAAGGTGACTTTAGGGATGCCTCCCAAAGGAACTATAATATGGTATGATAAAGGCAGGGATTACAAGGCTGTTAGACATGCCTTGAATTGTAAATACGGTTTCTTGTAAGATTCCTAGGAAGCTGCAGGTTTATATCTGAAAAAGGACAAAGACCCTGTATGCTTAGGCTATAAACATGATTGTTGTTTTAACATTCCCATTTGTCATAGGGATGAGTATTGTGTGTATACTGCCAACCTTCACAGGAAGTGTTACCTGGGCTGAGAAGATTCTTTAGTCAGACTCAGGGTGAAAGGCTTCATTCCTTTCTTAGCTTCCTTGGTCTTTCTGTGCCAAGTCAACACAGCACTTGTCATTCATTCATTTCTTTTCCTGGTTAAAGATATTATTAATAATATTGTCTATAATAAGATCAGCATTAGATTGTTTCTGCCTTTTATCTACTAGAGTTTACAATGAACACTTATGTATAAATTTATGTATAGACACATGATTTCTTGGAATTACCCTGTGATCAGCCCGAAGAAAGGAATTTCCGGGTCATATGGCAACTCTACAATTAACATTTTGAAGAAATACCCAACAAGTTTTGAAAACTTCTGTGAAATTTTATGTCCCCACCAGCCAGGTATGAATTTCAGTTTCTTCATATGCGGGTTGTCTGTTCTTATTTTAGCCGTGGGTGTGAAGTCATTACTCATCACAGTTTTTGAGTTTTATTTTCCTGTTGAGTAATGATGTCAATCATAAACTCATGTGCTCACTGGACATTTATAGATCTTTCTGCAAAAATGCCTACTCAAACTTCTTTCCTGGTTTTATTTGGGCACTCACCATGATCATGATCATCACATTGCCACTGAATTGCATGACACCAAATTAACAACTCTGTGTGTGTTCAGGTTAACTTCTTTAACTCTGTGGTAAATTCTAAAACTTTCCAAGATTAAAGATCCTTATACTCTGACTTCTGTGAGACACGATTAATGGAAAGAGCCTCCTAGCCCTAGTCACAACCTTTGTCTGCTTATTCCGAGACCCATGTAGCCTCTCATGCCTCTCACTTAAGCTCTTTTAATGAGATGTAATCATCGTTGGTCCACTGCAGACTCTTTCTTGGGTGCACTGGTTCAGAACACTGGAGATGCTCTCACTGTGGAGCATTTTTTTTTTCAAATTGCGTTCAGAGAGCGCCAAGTCCCAACCTAGTTTTCTTTCTGTTCTTTCAGCTGAGATGCAGGAGCCTGAGTTTTCTGCAGCCTGCCTGTAGGTCTCCAACCCTACCACTTTGTGTCCTGTGTGCTGGACTGTGTACTTGTGCCTTTTGGTGTTCAAACTATATGTGTCATTGTGTGCCTAGGTGCCTGCCTAGTACCCTTCACCTACAGTGAATAAATATGTCTTATTTGTTCATGGTTCCTCACAAAATTTTCAACCTTCAGCCTCCTCTGCCCTCCTCCTGTCCTGGAATCAGAATGTGAACCTCACAGTGGCGGGAGGCTGGCTCGGGTTGGGAAGTGCCCACCTTTGGTGGCTGGAAACTGAATATCTAATGTAAATGTTATATGGAAAACAACGCAGGAAAGTTTAATTTAATATATTTTAAGTGAAGGTTGGGATGTGAAGAATTAGTTTAACAAGCTCCCAACTATGAATCCCAAATAAGAATCATTATCATACACTTTCACTGAAATGAATGAATAAACCAGGCATTTATAATGCCAGAATGGAGAAGCAGAGGCAAAAATATCTCTGTGAGTTCAAAGACAGCCTGGTCTATAGATCAAGTTCCAGAAAGCATGGACTACATAGTGAGACTCTGTCACAAACAAACAAGCAAACAAACATGACATCAATAGTTAAGAGTCAGAGCCTGTGCTCTGACAACCCTAACAAGCCAGGCTTGGCCATCTCTTCTTAAAAAGCAAATTAAAAGGGGCAAATTAGTAGTGAAAAAAAAAAGACAAAGAAGAATTAATCAATGTGGCCATATTGAGCAGAGGAATGGAGATTCCTGGCCTGAGTTTAAAAGTAGAAGACATGAGTAGATGGAGATAAGCAGTCAAGGTGTGGCCCTGCCTGGCATTGTCCGTCATTGCCTGATGCCCCTCTGTCCTGCAAGGTGGTCAGACAACTATGAAATCTCTTTCTGGAAGACAGTTTTTCTCTGGATGGTTCTGGGATTTTTGCTTCCACCAGCATGGTGTTCCTGCATGACTGGAAATTCATATGGGAAGGCAGGACTGTTATAGTAATCCACTTGGTTCTAATACCCTACTTTAGAGTATAATAGGTCTTTGTATGAAAAAAAAATGGATAAAAAGAATAAAAGTGGAGGCAAAGACTAGAACTCATCCAGTTAGTGTCAGGAAAACTCTTGGCTTTGGTCACTTGTAGCTTGCCTGAGC